GCAGCAGAGACGCATTTTTTTACAGATCATCCGTCTCATGACAGTTTTAATAAATATTTTTGCAAAGGTCAAATAGTGATGCTTTGAATGGTGTGCTGCTGTGAGACGGCCATGTTCTTCTGCAAATGTGTGACCTTTAGAGTTAAATGTTCAGACGTCTGTTTCAGTAGTAGATTCATTATTTAAAAAAAGGGACTTGAGCATCATGACCTACGGTGTGAACGTAGCCAAGGTGCATCAATGTACATGCTGCCTGGTGATGCACAATAGTGGGAATTCAGTTTTAATGCAGCTGATCAGCAGGAAGAAATCTGAGCTTTCAGTATTTAATCACAGATCAGAGTCAAACGAAACAAAATTAGTTGGTTCCAATCTCTGGGCAACTGGAACAGCCAGCTGTAAGGATTTCCGTCATCTTCGATTCCCACACCAGATTTACATCCTTAGCGAAGGAAACGCAAAATAAAACTCAGCAAGACTAATGTGGACATCAAAGGGAAAGGGAGAAACAAAACAAAGGGAGAAAAACGTGTTTTTTTTTTCCTGCTGTAACATCCACGCTTATGCTATTGCATAACTAATATTCCCATCCTAATTCCCTCCAGTCGACACCCAACCCCTCAGCTTCTCCCTCTCCAAATTTCATAAACCCCAACCCGCCAGCAGCCAAACTTCATCAGAGAACTTGTGTTTACTTTCCGTCTGTGGGCCGATGATAAACACACTGAGGTGCATCGACTCGCCGACAGTCCTGCTTTCTCACACGCAGTAGTTCAAATATAGCTCCTAAAACGAGCGCCATCAATCACCACCAGAAACGCTGAGCAAGCCAACACCGCCACCCCCCTTTGAGTCTCTTCCACAGCGAGAGTAAACCGCTCCTCAGCGTGGTGGGGAAAAAAATGCTTGAGCACAGAAACTGTTCAAGGCACCGAGCAGGAATGAAAGCTTTCGTTTAAGCTACTGATGAAAACTGAATGAAAATGGCCGACAGTTTGAATGAACGGCGGATACTTTGGACAGGTGACCCCCCCTTCCCAGTGAGGTCACACAGCAAGGAGCTGGGAGCCGGCCAGCATGTTTCTGTGTTTGGCAGCGAGGCAAACACACCAGACGCCCGTGGGTTTCCCAGCAGGCCTGCAGACGCTGACCTCACTCTCAACCTAACGTAAATACAAGATAAAGTGGCTGACCCAAAACAAACAGGCCGCACGTGCTGCTGCTGGGAAAACAACACGCTGCCTGGAAGCTACAAACGTACGTCGTTCCTCCAGAACGCCGGCCCAGAAAGGGAGAGAGGGGCTTATGGAAACGGACTCAACGATACGCGGACAATAAAAGCTTTCTATTGGCTGAGAAACAGGAAGTGTGCAGACCACTTCACACACGCAACTAGAAGAACCTCAGAAGCAAATAATAAAAGACCTCAGGACGAGCGAGACACAAACTCAAATAATAATAAAAGGTTCAAATGAAATGGATTAAGACCAAAATGTCTCGATCCGCCTGGGTTCATTTTCCTATAAACGTCCCTGAATCAGAGGAATAGATCTGTCATGATGAATTTTGATGGACGATAAATTGTCCAAGATATTGCGATAAACTATAATATTGTTGTTTTGAGACCATTTTCAACTAGTACAACAGTAACGGCATAACGACGCAACACTCACACACCAATAAACTTTAAATTCCTGATAAACATTTAACACTGAAACATGAAGACATTTTAAATAACTAAAACAAAATAAAACAAATAAAATTGTCTCTGTAAATGAAATTGTCCTTCAAAAACAACTAAAAAAAATGGCTCGAGACCAAAGCACCAGACTGAAGACTTGCGTCATTCAATTTTGGTAGAAAGAGAGAAAAGAAAAACTGATGATGCAAATGGAGCTCGTTTTAAATGATCAAGTGATTATTGATTTATTACTTAATGCAACAGGACAACCTAAAGACACAATCGGTGAAAAAAGACAAAACAAAAACTACTTAGATTTGCCAGGTTTAATTCTACGTTAAACATTTAGCTGAATCAGACCAAGGAATAATGCTTAAAAAATAGAACCACAAGCTCAAATGAACCCGTTTATTTAACCAAAAATACCAACTCATCTTGATTGGAAAGAAAACGGCACTTCCATTTTTCTCATTCCAGGGTTTTAATCCATCTTTTTCTCCCAGATTTGTACATTTTCAACCAATTTTGTTTTATTTGAACACCAAATATCAATATAAAGTTAGAGAGATGACCATCAGGTGATGAAGATCTGGAAATACTTAAGCTGCAAACAGCAGGACAAAATGGTGCAGACTGTAAGCAAATAAAACAGAGAAAGTCCAACATTTTCAACTTCAACTGAGGAAGTTTATTTGTAATAACTGCACAGTGTTTTCTGTTATAGTCTTGAACAGTATATTATTATTAATACTACTGTTGTTGCAATATCGTTTTTACAACCAAGGATTTGTTTTTTGTATACCTTTACAGCTGATGCTGCACCTGAATTTCCCCTTTGGCTGCTGCTATTCTGTTAACTGGGAATCTTTTCAATAGAGATAAATAGAGAGAGAAAAAAAACAAGATATCAACCCCAGGACTAAAAAAAAAGATATATTATTCTTATCCAGATTTCAAAAACATCCAGACTTTTAAAGACTTTGAAAAACTTCAACATACAACAAATAGTCTGTAAATTGCTCAGATTTACACATTTCCCTGACTATTATTAATAAGTTTTTAGATATTTCGGGACAAGCCATTTACTGTGAAAATGGTTGTATTTGTTTTGTCAGGTTTTGTTTTCTCAATGTTCCAGTCATCATGAACCAAAACAAAGAATATTAAAACTGATTTTCGAGGCATCTGAACAGATTCCATCCAGCTAATATTTCTAATTTTGATTATTTTAAATCAGCACCAGGTGACTTTCCCACCTACCAATTTGTAGCTCCTGCAGTTTTTTTTACTGGTTAGATTATTGAGATGCATTGTTTATATAATAATAATAAAACTCATCTCTCAGAATTTACCTGTATATTGTTAAGTGTTAGTTTTACACACATTTCCACTGATTGTGGTTCTGATGCCGACTGATAAGATGACCGATTTGGACAGCAGTCTGACTGTAGATGTTCACTTTAACCCAAGATAACCACAAGTTAAAGTGAACAAGTTTAAAGGCAAGTGTGAGAAATTAATTTAGTTGAATCAGGAGCAATGATCTCTCATATTACAACTTAACTCGTTCAAAGAGAAATTAAAATCAACAAGGTCTTCAGAAAACTACAAATAATATAACCCATGTCTAATTTGAGCCCTGTTGTGGCCAATTACTGCAATAATTCATTAAAAATGAGGGTTATTTTATTATATTCGTTGAAAATGATCTCAAAATAACTTTTTATAGCAACAATTTCTGGGGCAATTAATTGTTATTGTGAGAAGCAATATTCTGATGATAAATTATTTACTAGGAGGAAATGAATCAGTATAGGATAAATTAAAATAAATCAAATGAAAGCAACTACAATTATGTTTACGTTCCAAAATAAGACTGAATGAAACTGCTGCTTTGCTTTCACTAGCAGATATAGTCATTGTCATATTATTTTTTTTAAATTTACATTTGTAAGGTTCTGACTGCAAGCAATAATCGATTTGTAGCGAAAAGGAAAAAAAATCTTTACACGACCGTCATTACAGTACAAGAGTAAATATTGGGAAGAAAATCTAAATGAGTAAAAATCTAAAAATGTCAAATTGAAAAAAATATATTTCGGTCTGAGCAAATTGAATAGGGAAATAAGGTAGAAACTCAATCTATTTTTTCCTCCAGGTATATCTCATCCAAAACAAATATCCAGGTCAACCTGAAGTAGGAAAAACTACTACAATTCAAAGCTCATTCTTAATAAAATCTGAGAAATTAAGAAGCTGTCCCCAAATTATTAAGTTAGTAGATTTGTTACGCAATCAGATGTTCCAGCTGAAAAACGCAGAGTTTTGTAAATGACAGGTACTCTCCCTACACACTGTCCTGATGTCCTACCGGTGCCATTTGGCACACTGAACCCCTGACACCAAACACAGGCTCCAAAGAAGAAAAAGCATGCACTAGACTGAAATAAGTGTATGATGCAGCCCAATTTGCTCACCATTTTAAGGAAAAGTGTGGCAAAGTAGAGAAATGTCCTGAATAAAAATAATATTTAAGAAAAATGCACATCATCCACACAAAAATGAATCCAAAACATTTCCCCAACTACATACAAAAGCACAGCTTCCCATTAAAACCAGCTTGTCCTCCCAGTGACCTGCAGTGCAAACACATTGAGGAGAAATCCCTTCTTGTGAATGAGATACACGTATCTGACAGCTGCACATGCTTGGTAACAACTCCTAATGTATTTACCGTTCTAACAAGAGCTGAAAAAGATCACACAGAAAGCAAAACCAACATGGACGTCACCAACAAGACCTAGCAATTCTGATCAAAACATTCCAGCTCAGTAATGCTAACCTGCATTCTACTAAAATAAGAAAATAAACAATTCTGATCTCAACCGTCGTCTTTTGCTAACGCACGGCAGCATTGTTGACATTTCTGCAAACTGATCTGAGAGCAGCAGCGCCACCTTGCCTCAGCGTTCTGCTACTACGCCAACACAAGGGCCCCCTTCCTCACGCAAGACACAAAATGTCGGCATTGCTCAAGTCACATGACCCCCTTTGTACTCAGAAACCCATCTCATGCATAAATAAACCGGTAAAACCCGGTAAATTTATCAAATACAGACTCCTTGTGTTTTAATTTGCCCAAAACATCCGTCCATGTCCAACGAACGAGCCGTTAACTGCCCCAAACCGTCGTGTTTCTCCTGAGAAAATTGGCGGCCATTTTGTGAAAGCTTGCGCAGGAAAAAAAGAGGGGCGCCTCTGATCGCTTAAAAATAAAACAAAGCTCAAAACTTCACATTTTCAAACCGTTAAACATTACCGATTCCTCTTCTTTCTCCATCCCCGTCGGCATCTGCGGCACAGCCCGGTTAATGGATGCATATTCGTGTAGGTCGGGTAAATCCTCACAACGGAAGACGGGTAGTGGCTTGGAAGCGTCCAGCGCCCGTGCCCGAAACGACAATTTACTCATTTTTTCACAATTCCAGATGCAATATAAATCTATCCGATCTCCTAATGTTCACAACGGCACCGAGTGGAGCTTTCATTGATGTTTCTGTGCGGTTAGTCTCTAACGTTCGGAAGGTTCTAGCTTGTATTTAGGGCGTCGCCAGCGGAGCTGGGGGAAGGCCCGGATCTCGGTCGCTCTCTCTCGGACTGTTTTTTTCCGACGCTCCGCTCCCTATCGGTGGTTCAGTGCGCCATGGACAACATGGCGGACATTTAAAAACTCTTTTGCTCTGTTTCGCTCGGAGCGGTCCAACCCCCAGTTCGTGGACCGACCATTCCCACACGGTCCCGAGCGCTTGCGCGTTGCCGGGGTTGGGGGAAGGGGGTATTTGTTGCAAAGCAACTCCGCTCCACACATCCACATCAATTATTGAAATAAACATTAGACATGGCCGAAATACGTAGTAAGATACGGAGTAATGAAAATAAATAAAAAACGATTAAATTTATTCTCAAAAATAGGATAAAACGCTAGAAAAATATTATATATTCTAAATGAAACTTTTAGTTAAAAAACAGCAGAAAATATAAAATATAAAAAGCGCAAAATAAAACAAAAATTAAGTAATAAAGACATACCCAAGATGGAAGAGAGGTAAATATACAAAAGTTAAAACATTTTATATTTAAATAAAGTAAATGCATGGTCAAAACGTTAAAAAAACAACTAAAGATAGATTAAAGTCGTAAATAAATACCACAGTAAACCCACAAACTACAAAAACTACTAACATACGCATTTATGACCAAAACATGTAAATAAAATACCAGGTTTAAAAAAATGGCACAACTGACGGAATATCCCAAACCAATCCAACTTATATGAAAAATAAATAATTAAAAAATGAAAAACAACACAGTTGTGCAAGTGATCTTTTAAATATTCTAAAGACTAATTCAAGTTTCTGTATCGTTTCTAGAAATAATTCCCCTTTGTTTTGCACTTATATGCTCAGTTCCTTACATGTAGATATATTAATTCCTCCTATCAATAAACAGTTAAAATAATTTATACATGATAAAAATACTCATAATACTTAATATTTTATGCAACCCATGTTTGAAAGTTAAGCAATGTAGTAATTTTGAGCAAAATTAAGTCAACTCCACCTAGAAAATAAGGCTGTTTGTTGCTTTTTTTATTTTTTTCATTTTTTTTGGTGTGAAAACAAGAAAAACATGACTAACTCACTCCACCCATTAAACACTAAGGATGCAGTCGTTGCTGGATGAGCAGGAAAAACTGTTCAGATCCACTGAACCTCATCAGCAGTGATGCCACAACTAAGTGGCACATAAAAAAGATGTTTACTCCAGGTGAAATGAGTCACAGCGTGCGCAATGCTGCCTCCATCTGGAAGGACAGGGACATGCATGTGCACAAAATACAACATGGACCAAGTTCTAGAGTATTTGCTTTGAAAAAGATCCCCCACTTCATTTGGTAATATTCCTAAAATTCACAGAATAATAGTACATTTCCACCAAAGCGCCTTACCTGTTGATGCTGTGATCATCCTGGGTCCAGGCAGAGAATAAAGGTTTTTATTTTCATTCTTAAACCCATAACTTCCACAAAGATGATCTGGAAACAAACGAAATCACTGAAATTTTAAAATCTGAAAGCAAATGAAAGAAAAATCAGGACAAAACTGATAAAGAAAAGTAGGTTTAGCAGAAGCTTGCTCATGTAAGGCAGAAGATAAGACGGATCTGCACACCAGCTGATGGTGATTGTTGGGCTTGTGCAAGCACACCTGGTGCTGCTCAGGTGTAGAACCAAAATTCTGCAGAATATGGCTACTTTTTATACGATTAATTGATTAAACAGAATAGTTAATAGATTAATCAATTATTAAAATGATCATTAGCTGCAGTCCTACATAGCTTGTCAGCAAATTATTAATTCAATTGTAAAGAAACCAGTAGGAGTTTGATACTTTTTATTCAAACTTGCTGCATGATGCAAAAATATTCATACCCGTTATAAGACAAAGTTTATTAAAGTTCTTTCATGTCTGCAGAAGTTTCTCAGCTGGAAAACACATTTCTAACCCAGAAAGTGAGACAGCTGCTTCTCTTTTCCCAGCACGTCTGAAGTTTTAAATGTTTGCCAGAAAACATGATAAATTAAATTAATAGCAGAGACGAATCTCTCAACAAAACACCAGATGCGTCGCATAGACCACATATTGCAAATCAGCCTCTCAGTGTCTTTGGAAATATCCCTTAAAAAGAAAAGGTTTGTTTATTGGCATATGGACAGGATGCAGATGATAGGAGTTTCTGTTGCTATTCTGCTTGCTTTTCCAAGATAAAACTAATTTAATCCAGATTAGAGCTGGACGATATGACTGAAAAACTTATAATACAAGCATTTCATACCAGTCAATATTGATAGCTATATTTTAGTTTTAAATTTCTGAGATTCAACCAGACTGGTGGTGTTGTTTTTCTTCTTTTGTCCAGTTTTCACTGGTTTTTATTTTTAGGCAAATAAAAATAAGGTGGCGACACGATGGCGAAACCTGAAACTGCTACTGTGCAAGTTACTCAACAGGTTGTTGCTATGTAACCACAGAATGATTGAGTTGCTAGGTAACCAAAGAATGAGTGAGTTGCTAGGTAACCAAAGAATGAGTGAGTTGCTAGGTAACCAAAGAATGAGTGAGTAAGTTGATTCCACCAAGCTAGCTTAGCTAGCCGTGAAGTTGAGCAGATAGTCTTTCCTCTGCCTACATCTCCCAGAATGCTGTGCGGCTCAGAATCAACATTCAGTGAATATTCTACACATTTAATATTCTCAGATGTATTATCTGCTCTATTGATATTGATCACATGACTACCACTATTGATTTAATGTCCAGCCATAATCCAGATCGAGTAGTTTTCAAATGAAATCAAATTAATCAAAGAACAACTGCCTTTGGCCACATAAATTACAATAATTCAAACATTAAAAAAAAAAATTACAAACACATTATGAGGCAAAAAAAATAAAAACCATAATTGGGGATTCCAACAAATTCAACTCTCGTACTGTATTAATGCTGCGTTCCTGTGTTCGGAACTGGGAAATTCTGACATTCTAGTTGGAAAAATCAACTTTAAGTGGACTTTCCACTGGGAAAGTGGGATCAACTACTCTTTACGTTTCAATATGTCCGCCCCTTAAATTAACAGTAGAAAGATGAGGTGAAAACATGTTTATTTTACAACATAAACATGTAAGGATGTTTTTTAAATCAATGTTGTGCCCGCAGCTACGAACTGAACAAATGAAAAGCAGTGTTTGTTTATGGAAAGTAAAGCTTAAAATGATTATAAGAACTATTGTAAACAACGTTTATAGGCATCGCAATGTTGAAATTCAAACTCCTTAACCAGAAAGCTCAGAGTTTCCACTTCCTGAGTAACTGGAGTGCAGCATGAAAGCAGTCAAGTAAAAATGTGTTTTTAAGAAGAAAAAGTTAAAAACGCCAAAGCCTGACTCATGAAGATATGAAGGTCAATATGAATGTCGTCCTTCTAGGAGTTTTGCTGTGGCTTTTTCTTCAACAACCTGACAGCTAACTGCTGCACTCAAAATGAAGCCTGGATGAGTTACAGCTTCCATCAGTTTCTAAGTGACCAGCATGAGGAATAATGGGTGCAATTTGGAGGTATGCATGCTTCTTTTTAGCTCAGAGGCCAAACATATTTCAGAGTACAGGAGGCTTGGTTTGTGGCGGGATATAAACAGGCAGATGTATCACAGGATTGGCTACTTCTGACTTTTAAAATGAATTTTAGGATTCTTTTAATTTTTTATTTATTTATTTACAATTCACTTAATGGAAACACGGCAATTTTGTAAAAATTCTCGTTTTTCATCAAATAATTTTGGCACTAGGATGAGGTTGTTTTTTTGAGCGCATCGTAATTGGTTTATTTTGCAAAACTGCATCGGAAACATTTTCTCATCACGAATCACATGATCAACAACCAGATGTGATTACTGGCAAAAACCACGAAGAAGAAGAGAACAGGAAGTAGTCAAAGGATGATGGCACGGCATGTTTTTTTAATGACTTCTGTGAACAAATTTACTGACGTCTGATTTAAAATCAGAGTTGCAAAACTATGTTTTTTCGACATTAGCAGAATATTGACAAAGTTTTGCAATGGAAAACTTTGCAATTGTAATGGAAACACAACTACTGTTGATTTGAAAAGCAATCTTAAAAGTCACCATTTGGTTTGTTTTGCAAGTAAGTCTTAGTAATTCATGTTATTTATTCTTTATATTAATCTCATTTTAGGTCGAATTGTATCTTAATGGAAGCTGATGAGATTGATTTCACATGTAGGTATCGACCATTTGGCGAGCTCCCCAAATTAAAGTTGGAGTATAACTTTTATTTTAAAAATATTTTCATTTTTTACATATTTGTTAAAACTGTCGATATGTTATGACAGTTTATTATTAGACAGATAATCTGTAAACATACAAGTATGATTGGCAGCACTAAGACCCGCCTCCTGCCTGTGATTGGTTATTTCTAGATAGCACTGGAAGAAAGGTTATCTGTCTCATACCATAATGTCACAACATAGTGGCAGTTTCAATAAATACGTAATAGAATATTTACCAATCCTCTTCATGAAACTGTCAGAAAAACAAAGTGTCTTCAGTCAGAGGCTTCTTCAATCTGCTGTAATACAGACTGCCAGAGGAGATCCTTTCTGCCCACAGCCATCAGCTTCTACAACTCTTTGAATTTATTACCAAATATTCAGTTAAATTTCTTCAATTTTAAATGGTTAAAGTTAGTCATTTTAGCTGAATGAGAAAACTGTTCCAAATAAATTTATCCTAAATTTCACCAAAGGTTGTATGTTATTCAGAATATTTCAGATAAACCTGTCGCAATAAGCAATAAAACAATTAACTGCATGATAAATTAAAATAAATGCAGTCATTTCCAGTTGCATAATTTATTGTTTTTCTCTTTTGTCTCTTTCTGCCAAAAACTGGATAACAAAAGTCTTTAGTCTGACTAGCCCTTTTTTTAAAGGGTAATTTCGTTTACAGAGATTTCCTAATTAATTTTATTTCTGTTTTTCTGTTTTTATTTTGAATATTTAAAATGTCTTCCAGCTCCTGCGTTAAATGTTCATTAGAATTTAAAGTTCATTGATCTTTGACAATGTGTTCTTGGCATTATTATTATTATTATTATATTACTTTAAAATTCTCTGAAAACAACATTATTGTTTATCGCAAAAACTTCTGGGATAATTTATCATCCAGTAAAATCTGTTATCATGACAGGCCTAATTTAAGCTCTTAAAATGTTTTACCCGTCTCGGTTCTCATGTGATTTTGATGTCATTTGATGCCATCAGATGTTTTAAATGAAACACTATATAAACATTTGAAATGTTTATGATTGAAGATTATTTTGAGTGAAAACAGAGCTTGCACTCTTCCAGCTGACACACAGAAGTGCAACATGGGTGGGGTTTGTCCCACAATAGGCAAAGAGTTCAGATAATCACAGGAAAGAGCTGGAAAATTCAGCCTTCCAGCTCTCTTAAAAGAGCAGATGTTCTCAGTTCTGGTCGGTTTTTGGCTTTTGTTGTTTTGTTTAAATTAACGATGACATTTAAAGATGCAGATGTGAAGCCAGGTTGATCCTCCACCTGTTTTCAAGGAGATGGGTTAGTGTTGGTTAGGTAATATTTGCAGTGAATGATCCAGGCCGAGCAGTTCCAGGGCAGACCACAGGGACAGCCTGGCACTGTTCAGTCACACACCCAAAGCTGCATATGATCCAGCAGAAAAATGTTCCAGATTATCCTGCCATCAGCATGAAAGCTCCTCAAAAGAAGATGGTGTAATAAAAAAACACACAGGCATCCTTTAACTGTCTCCTTCAGCTAAGGTTTACTCATGAAAAATCTAACAAATCAAATTATATTCGGATATACATTATTATTTCAATATGTATTTATACATTTTTAAAATATCTGGATCCATCTTTTGGGGGTTTGGTGGCTTTAGGGGCCGAAAAACTGAGTAGGAACTTGTGGTTTTGCTGTTGAATTGCATCCAGCTGACCAGCCAGGAATTTGATTGCGTGTATGAAATCATCTGATGCCAGAAAACACACTAATCACGACGGGCCTCTTTATTTTGGCCATCAGAGTTAAAAACATGGCAGGAAAATACTCACCGAGTGGATCTGTGTGGAAACGTGGAAGCCTTCGGGACAGATAGGGAACATTTCTGCAAGTTTAACCAGAAGAAGAAGAAAAACCCGAGAGAGAGAGACGACAGAGAACACGACGCAGCGAGCCACAGAGGGAGTTAACATCAACGTTAGCCATCGCTGGTTCTACTTAGTTTCACGAACAGAACCAGCCGGTGAGAAGCGGCCGGCTCCCGTTCAACATCCGGGCCGTCAAACGGCGTCTTTCAGTCGGTAAAAGCCCTATTTTCCTTCCGTTGGTCGAAACTAGAGAGCTGGAAAGCAAAGTGCTACTGTTGGGGGTTAACAACTTTGCTGTGAAACACGCCATCTGATTGGCTGGCCGAGGCCACCAATCACCTGTAGAGAGGCTCCACAGGGGCTGAAACGAAACGTGATTGGCTGTCGCAGACACGATACTAGAGATGGGAATTTCGGCTCGTTCCCCGAACGAACGAAATACAATGGAGATCCGGAACGCACGTGAACGTCGCCGCCATATTGCGAGGGGCATTTTTTCTGAAAGGTTCTTTATGAAGGTACTGTTTGAGCTAAAATCTTTTAACAAATCACATTTTGCTGTCATTATGTATATTTTTATTTATTATAAATTATGAATAATATGACAGGTTATTTTTGGACAAATTTATTTCTATAATTTTTTAATACCATACTTTTTGTTTTTACTATTTTATGAAGTATCACTGCTTTTACTTTAGTAAAAAGTCTACATACTCTACCCACTTTGAGTAATGTCACTGAACAAGCAGTAATGTTTTAACCAAAAATACACCAGATACAGTCACACCTACAATTTATATTAAAGTGAGACTCATTATTTATAAATAAACTTATTTTCTCTCTGCTGAGCTTATTGTGACATTTGAGACCAAGTGAAGGTATGATAAAAACCATTGCATACTACAAGTTACACTTTCACAAGTTTTCTATTGGAAAAAGAAAATATTTGAAAAAAATATGTTTTTTCCACTTAAGGAAAGTCTTTAAACACTAGAATGCGTACATAACTTCATATTTCTTGCGTGATGATTCAATGCTTTAGTAGCCTTTTTTTTTTTTTTAGAAATACGCTTTACTCAAGTGGCAGGATTATGCCACTTGAGTAAGGTAAATATTATTTTATCAATCAAATCAAACCAGTTTTTATCTGTAAATTACATCAAACTGAAAAAATGTTCAACATTAATTAATTTTATGACGTACTAATCAAATGCAGAGACAATTATTTCATATTTTAACAGTTTAAGTTTTTCTAAGAACATTTTGCCATAACTGACCCCCTGAATGGTGCCTTCACACTTTAAGAACCTGAAATTTATCAAAAAGCACTAAACCAAAAGTTTGTTTACATCCCAGTAAGGAACACAATCAGACGCCATGTTGGGGTGGTTTGATTTATTTAATAAATAATTTGAGAAAACTGCTTTGCCTTGATATGTAAAAGAAGGCACTTAAAAAATGGCGGCAGTTTTCTGTCAGAACAGAAAAAATTGTTTTCATCAAAACTCCAGTTTTCTGTAGATTTAACATTTGATTACGACAAGTAAAAAAATCCTTTAAATTTAAAGTGGTAATCTTTAAAAAAAATAAAAAAATAAAACGAGGCGTGTATTTGGTGCTGCTGCAGATGAAGGACCTGAGTTGGCTTTAAATTAAGCAAAATGAGTCCTGAAAGAGTAAAGCTGTTGTAAACCGACGTCCTTTCAGCCGCAGAGAAAAGAAAACTGATTCTGAATGATTGTTCAGCTGCAGATATATGGCTTTACAGAACCCAAAACACAATGTACACATTTCAGTTCAAACATGGAGGATTTAAAACGGCTCCTCAGAGACCCAAAGATCTTTGGTCCGATGGCTCATCGGCTTTAAAAACATTGATTCCTGATTACCTCCTGCTGAACAGAGCGAACCCGATGAACGGAAAGTCCAGTCATAAAAAACAACAATCTCCCAAAAATCCAAAATAAAGCAAAGGAAATAAAAACAAGTTAGCAAAAACAGAGAGTGGCAGGATGCGTCTCTATCATTTCATACGACAACAAACAGCAAACGTATAAAAGCCCCGCTCCGCTCGTCTCGGCCCGTTTTCCTCTCCATGTACAGTGTCGTCACAAAGGAGAAAGAAGCGACATCATTTCCCCTCGTACTTTGGGTTCACCACGGTTGTTACGGCGCTTTTGTAGATCGGATTCTCACCCTGAAAACAAAACAAACAAAAAAAGACCAGAAGAAAAAGTTTATATTCTTTTGCTTGCAAGTCCCCTCCACTAGGTGGCAGCACGAGAAGGAGAAGATAGAGCCACTCCCTCCTCACAGAAGAGAAAGAAAAGCTCCAAATGTTCTCATCCACCGCCATGTTTCTACTGTTTTCATTCAGATTTACCAACAGAGAAGACACAGAGTATTTAGAGCACAGCTAAATCCTGAGCAGACACATTTAACAGGTTTAATAATTTAAGGCTTTGTAAGGAAATTTATTTCAGAGGTGACTGATTTTCACATCTAGTGAGTAAAATATTAAATAGTTAAAGCTAAGTCAGATTGGATGGAGAGTGAAATGTTTTTCCAAGTCCAGCAATAAGATTTAGGCACAAAAAGTAAAAACAAAACAAAAAAACAATTAAATAAAAAGTTAAAATGCATATAAAGAGTAAAACAAAAATTGAATCAGTAAAAAATAAAATATAGTAAAATAAAAATGTAAAAAATACACAACAAAAAGTAAAAACATACAAATGGAAACATATGTAACTAAAAAGTACAAAAGTATCCACAAAAACAAAAAAGTAAAAAATACAAAAAAGTAAAAAAATAAAAAGGTAAAAAATCAAAACAGAACAAAAAAAAAGTAAAAAATATAAACAAAAAGAAAAAAAAGTTAAAAATACAAAAAATAAAATGGTTAAAGAACACAGAAAAAGACAGAAAAATAAATAATTTAATAAGATATTTAAAAAAAAGTATTTAGCTTTGGCTGGAGAATTCTAACATTATGCTGCTTTGATCTCAGCCTGGTTGTAAAAGCTGCGTCAGGTCGTTTTGAAGCCGAACTTCCACTCCAGTCTCAAGTCAGGTGCATTAGCAGCTAGCAGTTTTTACTCCAGGAATCTCCTTTAATTACCTCCATCCATCTGTTTTCTCTACATTAGTGGCACTCTACACAAAGTTTGTGTAAGATTCAAGTTGTTTCATTCTCTGACCTCACAAAACAACAAAAACATCCAGATTAGTGTTGCTAATAAACTGACGTAGCATTACTGAAGACATGAGCTTCAAATAGAGCCGTTAGCAGCTTTAAGCTAACAGCGACAGTGAAGGTTTAACTCCTGCTGAGCGGGTTAAGCGACTGACCGTGTCCCAGATGGCGTTCATCTTCTCCTTCTCAAACTTGGCGAACTCCCTGCGGTCATGGATGATCATGAGCAGCTTCCAGATGAGCAGCAGCGCCAAGCCGATCATCACGATGCCGGCGACCACGCCGGCCACGATGGGGATGATGTCAGGGCTGGACGGGCACTCTGAGGCGGAAAACACCAACACACTCAGGGATGGATGGATGGATGGGAAACGGATGGATGGATGGGAAATGGATGGATGGACGGATGATTATGAAGTTATGGATGGATATAATTATGTATGGATGGATGGATGGAAAATGGATGGATGGACGGACAGACGGACGGATGATTATGAAGTTATGGATGGATCGATGGATATAATTATGGATGGATGATGCATGGATGGATGGATGGATGGATGGATGAGAAATGGTCAGACCCACCGGGACCCAGCCCAGCCAGACCTACCGGGCTTGTCCACCACGTAGACCTCGTTGGTGTTGTTCCTGACGGCGAAGGAGAAGTAGAAGGAGCAGTCGTTCTCGTCGCGCTCCTTGCAGATGACCCGGGGGAAGGACTGGTCGTTGGGCTGCGGCAGCTCACCCTGGTCCCGGACTGGGATCAGGTGGATGTTCTTACACTCATCCTTACACACGTCCTTCTTCACTCCGGTCTGGAAGGTCAGACACTCGACGCAGTCCCTGAGGAGAGATGCAGGCGGATCAGACTCACGAATATCCAAAAAAGTGCAACACTAAAAAAAATGACAGACTAACAGAACAGAAAATCTGGTCTAAATTTCTTAAGCGTTCTGACTCACTTGTGCTCCGTGCAGACACCTGGACAGGTGGGGCAGGCCTCGCAGGTCGGCCCCTGAAATTTGGAGTCTGTGCATGTGCAGCTGCCGCATTCGCACACGCCGCGTCCATTGCAGATCTGGCCGTTGCTGGCGACACAGGTGGAGGTGTCCATGGAGCAGTCGCAGGCGCTGCCGGTGAAGTTGGCGTCGCAGATGCACTTTCTGCACTCACAGCGACCGTGACCTGGACACAGACAGCAGCAACCGAATCAGTGCAGAGTAAACGGCGGATTATTCTACTGGAAGCACATGACTGAGTCCAGGCAACGCATGTCAGCAAATCTACTGTTACCTGAAAAAGCTTTAAACAAATCCATGATGTGCTAAAGTCTAAATGGGTCATTTATTTTATTTGTTCATGATTACGTGTCTGAACGTCAGCAATGAGGATCTGCTTTAGCAAAAATAATGGCTGATGTTCTTCATCTCTCTCTAGTGTAAAGATGTTTTTTTATTTAAAAAGTAAACTATTTTTATACTATATTAAAAATACATTAAAATATGCAAAGAATCAAATAATTCAATTCCTTTTTAAAAGAAGAAAATAAACATTTTATTAACTAAAATGCAATGCTTCATTATTTGGAACAAAAAAAACGGTTAAAATTACTTCTAACATCAACATGTGAAAAGCTGTTGGTTATTTTTTAAATTACTAATCCATTAATGTTAATAAATACGACGATGTGTTAGGGCCATAGCAGACAGAAAAAAAGGAGTAACATTCTGACAAAAAAAAATAATCAGAAATTCAAACATCAAACGTTGATAAATTTACTCCTTTTTTAATATCTACAAAGTCCTTATTACGCCGCCGTTACCAGATTCTTTTTCCTTTTTCCTGAAGCTAAAACTGCCAACTCTGAGTAGAAGATATTTACAGACAAAGGGGTTTTTCCACTAAAAGTGCCAAATATCCACATGGCTTCATTACTGCTTCATTTCAGCAAATGGCCTTCACTTTGCTGGACTGTGATTCATAAATAGATTAATTTCTCTTTGGCTCCCACTCATTTTTCTACCTCTAGCTGCCATGTACCTTGAATGCTGCTAAAGAAACGATAAAGCTGAGAAACATACATGAAGCAAAATATATAATCTATCAGATTGACTTTTTTAGCAACTGCTATGACAAAAGTGTTTGCTTTTGTTCCTCTTGTCACCATTAAATCAGGTGAAGGCAGCCTGATGAAATCCAAACAGCAGTTTCTAAATGATGCAGGTAAATCATTTGTTCCTGACCTCCACAGAGCTTGTTGCCAGAGCGGTCGCAGTTGAAGTTGTCACATTCGCAGAACTGGCCGCTGTACGCCTCTGCAGGATTTTCCCGCTTCCTGCACTCGCAGGTACCGCAGACGCAGTCGCCGTTGTTGCTGCAGATGTCTGTGCCGTTGTCTTTTCTGCAGTTGGCGTCCAGATCCTCGGTCCGGACGTCGTCCTTGCTGCACTCGCACGTCTGCCCGATGCGTCCGTCGTTGCACCTGAAACACAACGTGAAGTTAAAAAGGTACTTAATTAAATATTTGGCATAAAATAATTCTTAAACAATGAGATTTTAGTCTGCTCAGTTCTGACTATTCTGAAATGTTTTAGGGCCTCCGTCACTTTAAATCCAAATGAGCTGCTGCTGGCCACGCCCCCTATCTCAACGTTTACACTCATATGAGAAAATAGCTGCAAACAGATGTAATTATACAAATTTACATCTTTGAAAAGTATAAAAGGAGCCTCCTGCACAATGCACACCCATCAAGAATGCATCAAGTGGTTTCTGGATGGCAAGTCATCAACAAAGCCAGTCGTAACAATCAATCAATTGATCCCAGGGCGAATTAAAATGAGCTTGATTTGGTAGATTTGAAGAAGGTCGGGGGGCCGACTTCACTCGGGTGAAAGCACAAAAAACATGCAAACGGTGAACTTTGCATAATACGTCGCCCAGAAGAATTGAGGTTGTTGTTTTGAAATGTTCTGCAGATGAAAGGAGGCGGAGGACGTCTCACTTGCAGGATCCGCATTCGTAGCTGCCGCTGCCGTCAGAGCACCGCTGACTGTTGGGCTCTCCTTTCGCCGCACAGTCGCAGTCGCAGATGTATTCCAGAACCACGGTCACCTCCTCCCTGAAGCCCTGAGGTTTGATCGTGAACACCTCCGATTTCCCATCAGCCAGACACTTCTTGCCATCGTGATGTACAGTAATGTTGAAATACACCTGGACAATCAGAGGAAAGCGTTAAAGTTGACACAGATTCCAGGGTATTCCAGGATATTCCAGGGTTTTCAGTGTTACCTCGTCCCCAATGGAGATGTTGACGCACTTATTCCCGTTCTCTCCTTTATTGATCACGTTGTCCTTGCAGATGGACGTGTAGGAAATGGAAGCTCCCGTTGGCCGCTTCGGGTTTTCCAGAACAACCTCAGAGGACAGAGACTGCCAAAAGAGGAGGAATTTAGAGGAAAATAAATTCATCTTTCCTGGATTTAATGGTTGGTGTCACATGTTTTCTCTTGTCTTTAAAAACCTGCTTGAAATAAATAAATGAAATAAAATAATCACGATAAAATACTCTGAAAATTATCCAAAGAATGGAAAAACTAAAACTACTACTATAACAAATAAAAAACTAAACAATAACTACTAAAAAAGACTGTACAGACTAATTAAAACTAACTTAAATTAGGCAAAAAGTCACAAAGAAGCAAAACTATAGTGTAAAACCCGGAGCCTGTTATAACCCTGCTGGTGAGCATCAGTTCTTACGTTGTAGGCATCAATGATGAGCTTCATCACGTTGTTGGAGTCGGCCGACAGCGTCCCAACAGCCGACTTAGGAATGAGGTTTTTGAGTTCCTGTAAGAGGGAGGAAGGATCAGAGGAGGCAGGTCTGATAAATGGGTCCTAGTCAAAGTAAAACAGCTGATACTTCACCTTGTAAACCGACTGGAACTCCTCAGTCACAGCAAAGATGGTCTGGATGTTGTTTTCGCTTAGTTTCTGAACCAGGTGAGCGATGGAGGGATAGTCCTGCAACACGGGCATTAATATTCAGAGTGGCGTGTCACAGAGGAGAGGAGAGGGATTTAAAGGAACCTGCTTACGTAGTAGTGGCTCATGGTGTACATGTTGTTCTCCAGGTGACACTTCCCGTCGTTGGGCAGGACGATCCCGCCCAGCTTCCCGTCTCCAGCGAAGTGGAAGCCGGCGTCGGTGGAGAACACGAGCAGACGGGTGACGTTCCTCCAGCCGATCTGATCCTGGGTTCAAAACAAAGAAACTCATCTGGTTACCGTGACGATAAGTCAATGTTATTGATCAAATTTAGTTTGTTGGGTTTCCGTAGTTCAGAGTGATGGGCGCCCGCGGCAGCCATCTTGTTTGACAAGCACGTTTCACAGCTTCTTTTTACTTAGACTTTGAATTCAACATAAAGTCATAAGAATACAGCTGTGGTTCTACAAGAATGAGGTCATATGACCAAGTCAAAATAATATAAAAATACAGTCTTAATAAAGCCAAAATAAAGGCCTACTTGCAGAGTAATAGTCCACCAAGTAGTGAAATTTCACTGATTCTACGTCACTATGACTATATTAATAATAATAACAAAAATTAACGTAGCCTGGCCCTAATACTCCAACTTACAACTCACAGAAAGAATGACTGAAATAAAAGCCACATTTTGAAAATGTTTTCTGTCATTTGTATTTTTTTCTTTTTTAGAAAAGAAAATGGGGAAAAAAATGGTAACATGTTATTTGAAGCATGAGACTCATAACCCTGTCATAAACATGCAGTAGTTTATGACTGATGTGATGAAGTGTCATTTGGTAAATAACGACATTCCTAATGCAAAGTTGCACTAAAACTTGCATTAAAAGTGTCAATTTTGGATTATTCGGTAAATAATGACACTTTTAACTAAAGTTGCATCAACAGATTTTATCTGCATCGCCCGGCCGTTCCAGTGAGCCGCTCACCTGGCACACGGCCACCTGCATGATGGCGTCGAAGCCGCCCTCCGGGGAGTCCAGGTTGCCGGAGATCTGCTGCTGGCTGACGAGCCGGTTGAACTCCTCTCCGTCCTCGGTCAGCTTCAGGACGTTCTTGTAGCTGAAGGGGCTGGTGCAGTTCTCGCTGCCTGTGCAGGGGTTCAGCAGCCTGGCCGGGGTGGTGCTGATGTAAGGCATGACCGTCTTCTCCACAAACGAACCAAAACCTAAAGGCAGTGTCAGAAATGATGATTACTTAAGCAAGAGTTTCAGATTTATTGAGCTATAACTGTCTTTCTCAAACGCCCCCTAGTGGTTAGCAAGGTACATAGAGGATTTGGTGTAAAAATAATAATGGAAATCCACTTAAAAAAAGCTGAAGGTGCCGGTGGAAAGAAAACCACAGGACTATTTATATGATACTACTTAGATTTAACTTCCCTTTGGGATTATATTTACATATATTATACGATTAATTATTAATACATTATTCATCTCAAAACGATATTTATTGCAATAATTACTGAATTTATTGTCCAGGAAAATTTGTTGTCATGGTGTTTTAACAGTTTTTGTGTCCGCTAATTACTGACTGAATAAACTGAAAACTGCGAGTTCCAATGAGCTTTATTAAGGTAATAAACTCAAAGGGCTTTCCTCGTGTTTATATTTCTAAACGGAATCACATTTTACGTCCCACACCGGGTTCTGTTTGGCCTGTTCCGCTTTGCTGTTCTGGGATGCCTCCGCCATGATTATTTCTGCATCAACCGGCTCCGCTTAAGGATGAGCACCAGCGCTCGCTTCCATTTCTTATTCGATTGGAAACTGTAATTTTTGAAAATATTTTGTGATGATGCATCACAAAATATTTTTAGGTTTTTTCAAAACATAAAAATAGAAAAAGTGGTGGTGCAGTACAAATAAAAGACCAACTATAAATATTTAAAAACTTTGGGCAAAATCTGTTCTTTGAATTTCAAACTTTTCAAACCGCTGATCTAACCAGACGTTATTAATCGATTGGAACCGATTTTAATCCAATAAACCATTAATTAGTTGTTGCCTCCCTTCTCAGAACAGATCTGATACGTTTTCACGGCGGAGGAACCTCGACTGTTTTCCACTCACCGATTTTGAAGTCTGAGGTGATTTTCTTCATTTCCTTCATGAGGTCAGTGCCAAGTTTCTTGACATTTTCCAAGTCGTCTTTCATGGAGAAGGACAGGTCCATAAGGTAGTACAGATCTATGGGGTAATCCTCCGCACGCTTAAATTTCAGACTAAAGGTTTGCGGTTCACCTAAAACACAAAAGCGGCAGCAGCTGAGAGCACAGAAAATCGGTTCCTCCCACCTCAAAACCCCAACAACGGTCACACATTTCTGGATTTCATTATGGAAACGGGAGAAAATCTTTACCATATCTGAGTTTGAGTGTGAGATTCTGAGGCTGGATCTGGGTGATCTGCTCAGGCTTCAGTTTCCCAGGTCCGTTGTGAGCTGTGACCGGTTTGTTCTGGGTAATGATAACTTTTCCACGTGGGTTTTCAATTTGCTGACACTTTTTCTCCTTCAGGGACTCAAGGTTGTCACAGCGGGCCGACTTGGGCGAACCAATGGTTAGAAAGTTCTGCAACAAAGCCAACACGCCATTAGAGGAATATTCAAGAGACAAATAGAGCAACAAAAACCAAGCTGTCTCTGCAGATCCTACTCTGCAAGACCAGTTTCCTCAGAACACACAGAAAAAGTCACCTGCTAGGTGTAACACAACCTAAGAAACATTTCTTAAATTTATGGACGTCTGTATTTGCACAAACTCAACGACTCTACAATAAAACTGACCGCACAAAAAAAAAAAGACAACATAGTGGGTAAAAAACAAAATTCAATTTCAATTTGTTCCATTTATTCATAACTTTTTGCACTAAAAATCCACAACACAAGGTCTGAATAAAAACTGTTGTACAGAAGGAGTTGCTGCAAAGCTGACTTAGTGCAACCAGTCAGGGTTAGTAGCCACATGTTCCTCAAAAGAAGGGATTGCAATAAACTGAACTGATGCAATCAACCATCCACCGTCACCACATGCTTCCCCACAAAGGGAATCAATCTAACATCAGCTGTTAAGAATTGGGACATATAAATAAACTGAATTTGAATAAATAAAAAAACATTTGGAGTACAAAGCAGGTAACTAAAGTTCATCTGTTTTTTATTAACTGTTGTGAAGCGTCTGGACTAAAGAGGTACAGGAAGAAACTGCAGAATGGTGCGTAATGGACGCCAAGCCAAAGAACATGAGACAACGAACAAAAATAAAACATACTTTGACTTCATTCTTTCAGTAATTATAGTCAAGATCTTTTGCTCTTCCTTCTGTACAAAAAACAGAATTATATCAACAAAAGACAGTAAAAATAGTCTAAATGTGTATTATTCTGGCTGGGTTTCTTTACATAAATTGGCCGCCGCTTTAGATGAATAAACATTTTAGTAAAAAACAACAGAAGACCGAACAAGCTGAGGAAAATTTCATGAGGTGGAAATCCAATCTCACTTCTGGTGAGGGCAAAACAAGATCCAACAAGCGTCACAAATGTTAAAAACCAGTTCAAATACGTAGTGTGCCCTGACATGCAGGTTAATGCTGACCAATCCGGGCCGGAGATGGTTGAGATGATAAACACAGGTGCCATGAAGACAATGAAGAGCTGATGGCGTGCTGCTGCAAGAACCAAACTGCAATACCCTGAAAGATTGCGCAGTTTAGTTCCTAAGAACATGATGTCGGATTTTGTCAGAAACTGAGTGAGAGCCAAGATCAGTGTGATTCATAACAACTAAAAAATAATTAGGGCTACAGCAGACAGTTATTCTGATGATTAATCAATTATTCTGTTGACTAGTCAAAAAATCTGATGATTAATCAATTATTCTGTTGACTAGTCAAAAAATCTGATGATTAGTCAAATATTCTGATAATTAATCAGATTAAAAATGGGCATATTCTCCAGATTTTTCCATTGACCACTTTCTTTAGAGTTCATCATTTGTAGCAAAGATACTTATATCACCAAGATTTTAACTTTCTGCTCAACTTAACATTAATAAAGTGTAGGGCTGATCTGTTGACTAATTTTTGGATTAATCGATTAGATTAATTATTTTGATAGCAAAAGTTATGGGTATTTATCCTAAATGCGACATTTTGTAAATGTTTGCTTTAATTGCAGATTTGAGTGTGCCGTTCTTTGAGCAAGTTGACTTTTTAAAGTATCTATACTCCAGTTAATGATTAATTTATTATTAACTTAGTTGAAGGTTGCTTCAATAACCGATCAATCGTTTCAGCCCTAACTGCATCTGATATTGTTGTTTCTACAACTAATTAAAACGATTGTGACCAAATAAATGTTAAATTTCAACAATAAAACAAAACTGTTCTGTACCTCTTCTATTTTAGCTTGGCATTTGAACTTGTCTTAAATGGGCGTTTTTGTTTTTTCTTTTAAAAAAAATTAAAACACACAATGACGCCTCTTAAAAAGCATCTAAGAAGCCAACAAAGATATTTCATGAATCAGTTTTCTTCAGGTTTTACAGAGAGAACTCACTTCATCCGTGCACCATCCACACTTTTCAGAGACTTGGATGCATTCCCCACATGACTGCGCGTTCGCCTTGATGCATATGCTACCATCTGAAAGAGAAAAGTTGCTCTGAGCCACAGCGAACAAGACATTTTCCATTAGCTCACTGATTCAAACCAGCTGCTGCCTGACAGAGAAGAAGAAACCCCATCCCAGCTCAGAAAAGTGAGTCATGATGGGAAATGTTTCAGGCAGCGGACCAACTGACGAGGTAACGCTGGAGAGAAAAAATAGCAGAAATCTTTAATGTTTTCAGTTCTTTTCCCTAGTTTAACACCCCAGAGTCAAATGGTTCGTTAGCAGAATATTATTTTCTGCTGAATTAGTCGGATCATTTAAATCAGCTGTGCTGGAGTGAAAACTCATCTAAAAGTGGCAGGATGCCATCCCTCGAGGACCGGAGCCTTAAACCGTTACCCAAATTATTAAACCGTAATTGAAAATGTGAAATCTCCCAACAGCCATTTCACATCTTAATACAACAAAGCCACAAACTTTAATGCATTTATTGTATCTTTATTGAAAGGTGAAGGAAAATTAGGCATTTTCATAAAAAACTAGGGCTGGACAATATGGCTGAAAAACAGTCGATATCAATAACTATTGATTAGTTTCTCCGTTTTAAATATCTGACATACTGCCAAACCGGTGGTGTTCCTGTTTCATCAAGAGTTCTCACTCCATGCCGTTATTTATTTTTAATCAGTTATGAGGAGCAGTGGAGAAACCTTAAACTGCTGCTGCACCACTTACTCAGCAAGGCGTTGCTAGGCAACCAAAGAGTGAGTGACTTGCTAGGCAACCAAAGAGCGAGTGAGTCGGTTCCACCAAACTTGCTTAGCCGGCCGTGAATGGTTGAGCAGCTAAAGTCTTTTCTCTGACTGTATCAATAAATGTGTGTTGATGGTTGAAGCTTTTGAAGAAATGTTATTTGGTTGTAAATAAATAAATATCCTGAAGACGGGTCAATGAACTGGTTAATATTTACCAGCTGGTATTTATGCTTCTTACCTAGTTGAGCTGAGCTGCCTCCGATGACCGCTGATAAAACCGCTATAAAAAGCAACTGGAGATTCATCTGTGAGAGAGAAAAAGGTAAATATAAATGAGTAAAAACAAGCAGATCAACATCTGAGCAACACGCATTCTGAAGAACTATCTCATTTAATCACATCCAAGTGGGATTTGTAGTAAAACACGCATGTTTTATTCAGATTAATGCCTAAAATTAACAGTACAGTTTCTGGATTTGTTATGGTTGCAGATTTTCTGTGACCCTGTGAAAGAATTGTTACACAAATATCAGTTAAGTGGCGCCTGCAAGCTGTGATCACACCATCTGTGTGTGTGCAAACACCAGAAACAAAGCGTAGCCCTGCAAACTGCACTAGCTGCTTAAAGGGCTTTGTTCATGTTATATAAACTATAAAACATTTAAATAAAAGAACTGCAGCACAAAACAAAACAACAAGAAGGTAACTGGCATCAAAACTAACTGGAACATAAATAAATGGCAGTAAAGAAGGAATAAAAACCAGAAACTCCAAACAGAGTGACTTCTAGGAGACTTTATTTCTGTGCTCTAGTTTAATTAAGCAGCTTAAGGGTGTAATACCTTAATTAAGGCTGTAATACCTATAAAAACAACAACAACAAAAAGAAAACAGTTTCTACTGTACCTGTAAAATGTGACCGTTTTAAGGACAACATGTTCCTTTAAATAGGAATTTACTACTGCAAGAAGTTCCTTTTTTCTCTTGAAGATAAACTGATAAAACATATTCCTCTTTATGTTATAATGCAGCTGAATTTATTTCTGTTTCCTGCCTGAATTGTGTTGTTTTTGTTAACAAACCAATCAGAGGCATTTATATTATGATTAGTGGGATCTGGACGTAAAATATGACGCAGCTCATCAGTGACACAGGAAGTAACAGGAAGAAACAGGAAGAAACAGGAAGAAACAGGAAGTAACAGGAAGTAACAGGAAGTAACAGGAAGTAACAGGAAGTAACAGGAAGTAACAGCAAACAGACTCGGCTCAGAAACACTTAATGAATGCAGCTGGTATATCGGTCCGATAATTAGATCTGGGCTGATATGAACAAGTGATGCTTTTTTCCATGCCTTCGTTTCTGTTTCAGGGAGGGGTGGACTGTGGGGAGTTTACCTGAAGAGATTAGGTCTGTAAATGTTTGTTATCAGCCATAAAAACAATTTTAATATCGGATGTCGATGTTGGGTCAAATTTTCAAATTGGTGCGTCCATAATTCATAACTCCAACTGAACATCAAAAACATTACTTGAGTCTGTAATAAAATCTCTGTAAACAAAATTGTTATTCAAAACTGAAGACTTTTATCATCCAGTTCCTGGTAGAAAGAGAGAAAAACAATAAATCATGCAAATGGAAATTATTGAGCTTGTTTTAATTTATCACGCAATTAACTGATTTATTGCTTATTGCAAAAGGCCTAAATATGTAAAAAACAACTTTATAGAAGTTCCATATTGTTATGTAGGTAGTACAACACAGCCTAACGCTATCCGCCGTTGTTTTGTTGTTATCTGCCTGTTTGTGCGTAGAATAATCCCTACAGCTGTTCGTTCTCACACCTCAGCTTGGTAAAGGAAAGTCTGACACCTGGTTTCAAAAACAGACTCTGGTCACTGGTGTCATGTTAATTAGATCGCAACAAAAGTGTTACATTTAACTGAATAGTGGCTGAAAGCTGATGAAGAAAGTCAGCCTTTTCATTCAGCTGTAAATGAGATACAATCAAAGTTTGTAGGCAGCTTTCAGGGACTTAATTTAGCAAACCTACAGCAGTGAACTCAGAAATGTTGACATGTTCTGCTGTGGGCGCGGGGTTCAGGTACAGACTCATCACTGCAGACTCATCACTGCTGTGGCAAATTATCGTCCAAACAAGCACCAACAGAGGAAAACACAGACGGAGGAGGAGCGCAGCCCCAGGACACGCTGTCCAACTGAGTCGAGCAGCAGACGTGCAACGACTGCAGCAGATGTGCAGCAGCCGCTTTCATGAGAAACCGTGAAGAAACAGCTGCGGCTCTTTATGGATGCAAGTTTCAGACTGCAGCAAGGAGAGCTTATGAGACCGGTCAGATGTTTATATGGCCGCTTTTCCTGATAAAAGGTAAAGGAACCGTGTGTTTATTTACCCTGCAGGAAATGTTCTGTTTTTAACAGCTGATTCGACTCAGGCTGTTGGTTACTGAGCAAATCTGAGTCAATGGATCAATCTCAAAAATAGAAAAAAATAAAAGTAAGAGTAGTAGTTCAACCCACCAGAGAGCTTTTAATTTCCTCCAGAGAGTGTCGGTTGGTTAGGTATCATAACTCACGTTGTTAGGCAAAAAAAAAAGCAAATCTCCTGACTTTTTCCTCACCATAATAAACAAATACGAGCTCCAAACCTGAATACAATTAAAAGACAAAAGCTGCAAAAGTGATGACATTTGCAGTTTAAAAATGTGACAGAGAAAATACAAAATTCAAAGCAAAACTGTGACAATGGAGGCATTGTTTCAGTGTGCAACATATGCAACAAAAAGCATAATTAAATTCAAACCAACCCCAGCTGTGGAGGATTTCTCCACCATTAACGCTCCACCCCAGCTTTCCCACAGACCGGCTTTGTTTGCTGCCCTGGGATTTGAATCGACGCTGGGCTGCAGATTGCAGAGCGATGACTGACTGACTGGAGGCATTCAGAGCTGGAGGGGACCATCGACCCAAAGAGTCCAGCAGAATAAAACCAATTAGAAAAATACTTTGACAAGAATAAAATCAGGAACAGAGACCAGCTGAAATCTAATGATCTGCATATTTCTGTAATTTAGATATTTTTTTTTGACAAATGTAGCTGATAGCAAAAATTCAACCTGGAAGACTCCATCCCCTCCGTTCGCCCATCGGCGTTATGCTCATCTCCGACCTGAGTCTTTCCAGATTGAAATGGAGGCTTTTTCCATCTAATACAGGTGTTAGGTTTTATCTGACATTTGACCTGCCTATTCTGGGCAATTATAGCAATTATAAGATGGTTGTAATTTGCAAATCAACCTAGCCTGTATCTGATTTTCTAAATTTAAAAAAAGAATTTGCAAGTGTAGATTGGCAGATTCTAGACTCTGGCTGGTTGAGTATTTAGCTCTGCTAATGAAGAAAAAGCTCAGTAATTGATATAATTCATTTTTCTGCAATGAGAAAATATTTTAAAGATTTACTGTAAATTCAGGGCTGTTCAAAGTGTGGCCCGTGGGCTGTTTGCGCCCTTGGAAGGATTTTTTGTGGCTCCATTAACAGTAACAATACAAATATCATATCTATTATTTAGAGAAACATGAGTAAAGTTTGCATCGTCAGACAGACACACTGCTCGTCATCACAGCCTTTAATTACAGTCAGAGGCGACAGAGTCACACATCTCAGCTGGAGACACACCAGGTGCAAATATAGGAGAAAGATTCAAAATAAAATGCAATGAAAAAAATTGAAATTCACCTTTGGAGCCAATTTAAGTGGGAAAACAAAACCTTTTTAGCTATGAAGAGGAAGTTGGCTTGCGGAAATGAAATAAACTTGATTTTTGGCTCAGAAAGTTTGGTAATCTCACTGCTAGTCGTTAAAAAAATGGAACTGAAACCAAATATTACCCAAGACTTTGGAAAAACTTTAAGAATCTGCAAAGAAACCAGAAATGGAATATAGAAATATTTAATAAGGTAAATTCACATATGTAGAAATGCAAATCCACTTATTTCAATCAGTGATGATTAGAGACAAACCAATAAGAAAATGTGATCAAATGTCAATCACCAATATTAACATTGTGAGGAAAAAATACAGAAAGAAAGAAAAAATACAGAAAGTGGGAAAGGAACAAGAGAAATAGACATGACTAAAAAAAGGAAAATACAAAAGACAAAGACAGATAAAACACAAGATGGAAACAAAACAAAAAAAGAAAAGATAAAAAAATGAAGGAAAGACAAAAAGAAGATAAAAAGATAAAATAAAAAAGACAACCAAAAAAAGAAAGGGAAGAAAAAACAGAAAATAAAGAAAAAGACAAAAACAAGCAAAGAACCAAAAAATTAAAAAGAACAGATGTTCATGCATTTAAACATCAAGCAGATGAAGTAAAAAATATATTAAAAAATTTGCACAAAATACTAAATATTTCAGTACATAATAAACCTCTCTGTTGTATTATTAGCAGTTTGTTTATTTAAACACAAGCCAGGTCTAAACTGACTCAAGCTGGAATAAAACCATTAGTTTCTTCAGAGCATCTCGTGGTATTGAGGGTTTTTTTTAATCAACATGTTTTTTTCTTGACCCAAAACTTCATGAGGTTTCAAGTATTTAATTTTTTTCTCAGCAATAAAAAGCAGAATCCAGGTCAGTCTTAATCTGAAAACACCTGCTGTACTTAGCCAAGTTTTAATACAGCGATTAGAAGCAGATTTTGTCTGCACCAAGGTTTACTTTAGTACAAGTCAATGAATAGATGTGGTCCTTGTTACCATGACAACAAACAGGAAGCCAGAGAGAAATATAACACCTAATATGTTTGTTGGTTGCTAAAAGTTGTAGTTTTGGTCGGGGGGCCGTAAAGAATGAGTCCAGCAGTCAAAAACTGGCCCCCGAGCCCCACTTTGAGCACCCTTCCTTTAATTAACATGCAGCTTGGAGTGAATAGAAACAAAGTGTTTTCATTTCGTGGTCTGATGTGTAGCCAGTGAAAGAGCTGGATTAGCTCAGTAGATTTCCTGACCTTTCTTTGACTTGTTGCACCAAAAGTTGAAGTCATGCAGGTGGAGACTGAAGGGTCAAAGTTCAAGCTCTAACAACGTCTTCCCCATATGGTTGAGTTTATGGTAAATGTGACCAGACCTCAAGGGCACCTGCAGAAACTACTTCCTGCTAAAAGTGTTCGAACCAAACAACAACCTGAGATGTGTAGAAGAGTCCACTCTGACACCAAGAAATGCAGAAACAGCGTATTCACATGTGAAGCGTTAACCTTTGCACATGCATGCATCCTGCAAGAGAAAATGTAAATAGAGGTAACAGCTTGCTGTGGTTGCTACGCTCTGAGGATCAAAGGTTAACCGCATGGTGTTACTGATGGCATCTGTTCTCATGAAAACAGAACTGCACTTAAAACCACTTCCACACCACTGCAGGTCACTTTAACGCGCCGACACAGTAAGGTACGCTGGCCCTTTAATGCAACTTCTCCTTCCAACAACTACACATGCATGACTTTAAAAGTACACCACACTCTTTGCACCAATAGTGCCAAAAATGTCCAACTGAGAGCAGTAAAGAGCCACATTCATTTCTTAAGACTTTTGTTGTTTTTATGTCTTTGAATATATATCAAATAGATTATATATTAATAAAGCACAGTAGCCCATTTTTTGTAGAAAAGGAATCTGTAAATCATGTCGATCTAAACTACAAACAGCGTCTTACACAGTTGCTGTTTTAGAAATATTTTAAGTATTTTTTTATACATTGTTGTTTAAATAAAAATACTTTGTCTTGTTCCTAATTACATAAATGTCTGTAGAAATAAAAAATTGTGGATTTGCTAAATTTTTTAATTGTGCACTGCAAAAACACCAAATCTAACCAATATTGGTCTAGTTTCTAGTGTGAATATCTGCGCCGGTTTATTGGTGCCGATTTCCTTAATTTTGGGAGATCTGTGATCGGCCGATTTTTACATCATCAACCTCGGCAAAGGTCTAAAAATCAACCCCTGTTGAATCAACCTCCTGTGAGAGAGGTTTGACTGACAGACCAGGTCATGTCTGAACATTTACAGTTAACAACAGTCACACCAATGTTGCCAGTTCAGCAACTTCCTTGATATATTAAGCAACATTTCAGACAAAAAACTAGAATCGGTCAAAATCGGAATCTGTAAGGTAGGCTTTTTAAAAGATCGGTAAACGGCGATTGGCCAGAAAACTGCAATTGGTGCAGCCCTTGCAGTAACTTAAGTCAAAACTAACCTCTAAACTTTTCAGCAACATATAGGAGCTTATATTACGTAAATGATTCCTTAATTTTGATGAAAACCTACTTGTTCCACTTATAACACAGTAGAGATGTTAAGTAACAATCTGCCAGTGGAATTGGTTATTGTTTAATCACTGTTGGCGATAAACACTGAAAACCTTCAGCTTGACCTGCCTGACTGGTGAACTCCATACCTCAGAGCTACCAGACCGCAGTGAACAACACTCTGCAGGCTAAGGTTGTTTTTTTAATTTTGCAGTTCCTTTGAAATTAATTTGTCTATTTTCTTTCTCGCAGGTACTTGAACCTGAGCAAAAACAGGAGAAGTATTGGTCAAACTCCTTGGAAACTGTAAAGATGTTAAACAACTCTTATTTTTTGTGGATTACTGATCATTTAAGTTCATATTGCATCCCGGATCACGTCTTTGTTTTAATAAAACATGGACGCCCTTCCTCTCTTTTCATCCGTTTGGTTTGCCTCCCATGGTCGTCCAATCGGGCCAGACCTGCCTCTGACCGAGAGTTTGTTTCTGGTCCTTTGGTTACATAAACGCCCAAGCTTGACCCTTTGTCCATTTCCTTCACTGGATCAAACTCCAGCCTGTTGTTTACCCCAAGGAAGCTGAAGGACCAGGAATTTCCCTTCGCATCTCATTGAATCCAGAAGAGCTGTTACAGATATAAACGCCACCTTCCACCTTCGTCAGGCAGAAGCTGCGGAGATCATTTAGAGAAGACGTTCAAACTAAAATGGTTATTTTTAAGAAAACCGAAGTAACAAAGAGAGACTCGGTGCTCAGCCTCACAGCTGTAAAGGTCCGGCGTTTATCGTATCATTTACAGTGATTTTTATTTATTGTTGTCACGATAAGTTCCAATACGTAGTTCTCATGTGACGTCACACTTCCGTAAACTTTGTAATTGACAGCCATCTTGGTAGGCAGTTGCTATGGCAACAATAAACGAGCCACAAGCTTAGAACTAAAACGTTTGTTTTACGTTTTATCCGTCTTATTTTATTCTATCGCGACAGATAGTTTTAGCAAATATGTAAAAAAAAAAAAAAAAACTTTAATCAAAAAACGTTACATAATGTAGCTTTAAACATGCAACAAAAAGTTCCTTAAATCATAAGTGGTGCTTTTTCACTTTGTACATCTTACGAAGTTAGATTTTCTTCCAATATTTTAGATTTTTAGTCACTAGAAATACCAAATCCCAAGGAAAAGAACTGCAAAGACATTAGATTACAGGGCCGCGGTAATATAGGCGTCCGTATTGTAGCTAGGACACCTCAGAAGAAGAAGTCAACTTGAGAAGAAGAAACGGAGAATTTCTCACTGAACGTCTCTGCCATCATAGGAAGAAAATCCTAAACTCCCAGCTGTAATTAGAGGGATGAGGGAATGCATTCCAGTGCTACGTCACAGAAACTGCAACCAGAACCGAGAAAAATCTCTCCCTCGACTTTTTAAACAAACTGAAATCACAAGAAAGGACAAATTTACTGAATAAATAATGAGAAAAGAACGGGACTTGTTGGTTCAGGAAGACGTTTTACTTGTAATCTTCCTCAGAGAAGGCGACACAAACAGTCAGATGGTTGCTGTAGTTTAATTCGAGTCAGTACTGACTCATGGGTGACGGATCTGGGGTGAAGGTTCAGCGTTGAGTAACGTAGAACGACCCTGTAACCTGCTCCGGATGGCGCTCCCTGTTTACACCTCACAATAACGTCGCGAAGGGAAGTGACTCAGTAGTCTGCAGCCCTTCCTTATGTCTGCAATTAGCAGCTCTGATACGAAACAAGGAAGAGCAAGTCGTCGCTGCAGAGCCAAGATATGCGCTTTCACAGATTAGCAGATATATGCTCTGTGGGATCAGATTTCTCATTAATCCTTCAAAGAGAAAACAGCAGCCTCCAGCTATGAATCCTTTCCAGGAAGACGAGAGACAAGACCAGACCTGTCCTGTTATCATACCTGAGCTCCACGTTTTATCGCAGCTCTGGGCAAGGCTCAACAAGAGCCACTAAAGATCTGGTTAACCAGATGAGTAAGATGTTCTGGCCTTAAAGTTTATACAGTCCACGGGTTCGTTTTAAAGGGGCAATATCACATAAAATCGACTTTTTAATGTTATCCCCTCTTCAAAAACACACCTGGAGTGTTGCCTTGATTCTTTCATGCATGTTGGAAAAATAATTTAATCTCCATGGCAACCATTCAGATGTGCAAAACGCCTGGGTGGACATAGCCCCGCTTTCAAGGACACAGCTCCTCCCCCAATCTGCTCCTCCAGACTAGCCAGAAGCAATTAGAAAACACAAAAGAGCTTAATTTTTTCACGCATTTTCTGTCTCATACCATACTGTCAAAAAAACAGTGACAGTTTCAACAACTATATGAAAAAGTATTTATCACAGTTTTAATGAAGTGAAACTACAAATATAATCTAAGATAAAATTAGGAAATTACAAGACTGCAACATCTGCTTTTACATGAATAACTACCTTTAGCTTACACGAGCAAGATCTCACCAGTCAGTTTTCATTAACCAGTCGACGTTTTCTGTTGAGTTTTCATTAACCAGTCGACATATACATATTCACAATACAATACCTTTTTGAATTCTGCACCTAAAAATTAACCAAGGTATGACAAAACTAAAACTGCTACTACAATAAAAACTAACAGAAACTAGCAAACAAACTATAACAATTAATTAAAACCAATCAAGTCAGACAAAATGTCACAACCAAATAAAACCAAACTAAAACAGAAAACCTTTAGTTCAAATGGGAACAAGAATGATTTAAACCATTTTCCCCCCCCCAACAACAAAAATTTGGTTCCATACTGAAAATTTTGCTCTCAGTTATAAATGTTGACAAGAAAATGCAAACGAATTAGCCTCGACAATGATCTATGACCCAAAGACACCATACATAATGACAACAAAAACTGAGGGTTACAGGCCCATAGATATAAACTTAAGTTCTGCAAAAAAGAAAAAAAAATACTTGTGGTTTGTCATTGTCATTTTTCTTTTGTTGCTGCATTACAGCACAAATTGGCACATGTTGAATACTTCATGTTTAGCGCCACCAAAAGGTTTGGAGGAGTAAAAAACAGCATTTTGGTTCATTTTCTGTGTTTTTCATGTACATGAAAACATTTCTGAAGACGGTTCTGTTTGGACCTGGGCAAACCCCCCGATGAATGTGGCGCCCTGGACAAAAAGTCATATCTCTTATAAAAGGGAATATTACTTCTCAAACCTCTTAAATTTATAAAAGGTCTACTCTTTTTTGGTATGCAGAACTTTTAAGCTGAGATTTGCAACATTTTAAATACAACTGAGTAGTTAAGGTTGTATAAAAATAAGGATTAAAATCGTTGTAAAATTATACCAAAAATGAGAAAAACAACATAATATGTCATTCAGATCTAATCAGAATGTTTTAGATATTAATTAACCAACAGAATAAACCCAAGAAGTGATCGATAACTTTGTCTTTTGTCTTCATTTCGTCTTGGCTACCAGAGGACTGCCCTGTTTGGCCGCACAAAGCGGCTACTTCTGGCCTACTTTCCCTACAAAGCCCATATTCGGGTTAATTCCCAGCTTTTACTCAGCTTTAAACATAAAAATCTGTTTAAACCCCGCTTTGTTTGATGTGTGTTGAAAACAACCACCCACTGTTCGACCGCTAACTAGCTTGTCGTTGATCCACACCCAGAAGTTTTGCGCCTGAAGACAAATATTCTTTACTTTCTCCGCCTTTTCTTTCTTTCTTGTCGCTCAGATTGTTTGTTTGTTTGTTTTAAGTCGCTGGCAGAGCTGGATAAATTTTAATTAAAAAACATGACTCACCTTAAGTCGTTGCTTGACAGGGTGTTTGTTGTTGGATCAGAGCAACATTAGGTCCAGAAAGTGTCCCTTTTTTTTTAACGGATCCTGGAGAAAAAACTAGCTAAAACTGTTATCTGGGTTCGCTTTGTTTGAGCACCGTGCAGGTAAACGATTTTGGGGTAAAAAACACAGGAGCAACTAAACTCTTTTCATTCGTTATAAATGAAGTAAATGAAGATCCAAAATCTGGTTGGGACACGTTGTTGGTTCCAGTATAATACTGGTGGGGCTTTTTCTATTGCCTCACTTCAACAAACCCCTTATTCTGAATCTAACCCCGCCCACACCGGAAGTACAGCGGCAAGCAGCGTTAAAAAGAACAAACACACCAGCAGAGAATGAACCCTTGCTCACCTCGGGGAAAACTGTTTTCATGAGCATGCGCAGAAAACTCAGCTTTAAATCTTCACATTTCTCCTGCAAATACTGAAGAATTTACAACAGCACTACACATTAACACAGTAAATGTTACCTTGCATAATGTATTGATGAATAAAATACAAAATCAATAAGAGGAAGTTGAAAAGTAGCAATCCTTAGGTGCCTGAGTGATTCTAGAATTGCAGATACATTTAATGTACAGTCATTATTTTTGGCCAACTTTATTCAAATATTTTCTTTTTATTATTTTTTTAAGTAAATTAAAAATTTTGTGGATAATAATATTTAACAAGTTACATTTAATTTCCTTTTATAAGTTGAAAAAACACGACTTCCTTCCTGTTATCAGAGTTGGTTGCTGTTTTGCTGTCCCCCCCCCCAACATGAAATAAGAAGCAAAAACATATTTTTGAACTGAATCATTTACACTGTTTGATTGTATTTTTCAGTAATACATTTCATAATCTTGTCTGTTCTGTAACACCAGGGTTCAGTTTTATTAATGGAATATTTTCACAAAAAGGAGAAAACTGTTGTCTTGAGGATAATTAATAATGATAATCTAGCCTGTTAGATATTCCAAATATTGTTTATATTGTCCTTAACAGAGTTAAGTCAAACGACAAATACAATCTGAAATGTATTTGTGTAGTCCCATAAATCTCACTATAACTACATAAATCCACTTTATTACGGTACAATCACCTACTTTTATTGTTTAAACTATCCTAACTGTGCATTTTCCAAAGCAAAATACTTTTTTACATGAAATAAAGTCAGAAAACTTTAATAAAAGTGTAATCTGTAGTTTATTTTATTAGCCGTTTAATAATCAAAAGAAAAGTGTTGAATTATAAATATAAAACACTGTAGAAAATTGTTATAACTTCTTACCAGCAGCTGTTGTTTCCAGCTGCCACATTATTTACATCACCACACACTTCTTCTGAGAAGAGTATCTGATAATTCACTGAATTTTTTTACTCAAATTAGAGTCCCTAAAACATGAACATTTTCCAAGAAGAAAAGAAAAACAATCCTTGTGTTGGTTTGCAGACATCCCAATTACAATCCTACAGTTCCTCATTAATAATCAAGAAGTCAAAGATCAAGAAGCAATTTTGACACTTAAAGAATATTTATCTGTTGAGATCAGATGATTAAATTAAAAATGAAACCCTCAAGCCACTTTTAAGGATGCTGCGTTGCAACACAGCGGATTATTGCGACATAAACACTAAGATGAAATATCTCTGAGATCTCGTACTGAGGTTGGAAACCTCAACCAAGCAGAAGCTGGTATGACTGAAGTTCACACCAGACTCAGGTTGAAGGCCACACTATTTCAGGTATATTCTTATACACTTTGAGTCAGCCATCTTTTTGCTTTCCTTTTGGCATTTTTGTAAACTTTTGATGTAATAAATAAATAAATAAATAAATAAATAAATAAATAGTAGTCCAAAAGAAATGATCAAGGCAGCCTTCAAGAATTTAGTGTGGTCCAAAACTTTTGTACATTACTGTCAGTTATTTAAAAAATAATAAGATAAAAAGGTACCAGCTCCTCCCGACCCCATTAAGAAAATGGATGGATGGAAGTAAAAAAGGTAGCTTTGATATGAGGACATTACCATAGCATTTAATATTGCAACACTGCCACCTTGTGGCCAAAAAGGCAAACAGCAGGCGATGCACTTGAAAACCGTTAACTCTTGTAAAATTAAACAGCAAATTAATTGTGATAATGGTTAAAAACATATATAAAAGATGGCGAAAATTACACACGAGGCCCGGTACATGATTAAATTTATCTAAAATATATGTTAAAATGTAACACTTGGAAAGAAAACTCCGATACGATTCTAGAAAGACAACGGGGGGGTGGGAGGAGCTTAGTGGTTGCCGTGGTAACCACCAACTAAATATCCACTAAATATAAGAATATAACTTGTTTTACTAAACAAAATGAGTTCGAACAATAAACAAATTCTGACAAAATTCAAATTTATAATGTTGTCAATGCTGTTACACTTATAAAAAATATTTTCAGGAAAAATAATTTATTTGAAGGAAAAAATAAAGGAGGAGAATATTGTAAGTAAAAATAACTGGATTGTCTGATTGAATTAAATCTGATTGGTTGTATTTGGAGATACATTTTAATTTAGCTTTTGTATGTTTAATTTCTTGTTTTGAGAAGGAAAGCTTATAAAAGCCACATTACTTTAGTCAAACAAATAAAATAGTCTGAATTTTTGTTGGAAAGAAATGTGTAAATTAATGTACATTCAAAACCTAGAAAAGGTTTTGAGGGTTTGTGTAAATAAAAAAGACATTTGTTTTTCACATTTATTTAAATATTGACTTGAAAATCTTGATTTGGTAAATTCTGAGCAATAAAAACAGGATTAGTTTGTATTAAAGACAATATTTTCTATTGCTATGAAGGAGCAAGAAATAAATGTGGTGAGAGAGTGTTAATTTTCAATTTACAGCACAGCCTTTCAACAGATGCACTTCATAATTATGCAATTAGTAATAATTAACAAAACCTGGCAGGATACATTGAAAATGCAATGTAGGACCAAATGTGAGGTGATAGAGAGCATAATTGTGATGTTTCTGACTAAAATCATGCTGGTAAACACCATCTGTTTTCATTAAACTGCAGTTTTAATTAACACTAGTGTAGAGTGCACTTGTAACTACAGCCATGATGAAAAGAAAGTGCATCCTTTAATGGTTTTTATCGTGTATTTTTATTTTAATCCTATATTAAGCGACAATATGGTGTCTGTGTGGCAATACATTTTATGTACTTGAGGTTAGATTTTAATAGTTTTAGTTTCAATGTCGGCTAAACCAGACAATTAATGTTGTAAACCAGAGAACTGATAAAGGATATTTTCTTTTGATTATAAATGTAAGCCTAAATTTAAGCCTTCAGTACACAAAAATATTAACATTAATTATTAAACATAAGTACACATATGTTTCTTAAAATATGTAGCCCAACGTCATGAATATTCGTCTATGAAATTACTTTGTTCTGGAATTTTCCTAGCTAGTCTGAAAAACATATTAACATGCTAACAGGATAAGAAGAAATAACACTCAGTGTAACACTCAATGAAATAATAATGCTAACTGTTAGCCGTTATTGTTAGCATGCTAACAGTAACATCAACCAAAATTAGCATTATCATGCTAACATCATAGAAGTACAATGTATTGTGCAAACTGTGTCGACCGCTTAGAATTGGAGATGGAAATTTAAGCAAGAATAATTGGTTAAAACAATTAAGAAATCACAAACTTTTATGCCTGATGACATCATTTAAGCAAAAAGTGTTGCAAAACAACATCAGCTAAATTATGCTAGTGTATGCTAAGACATTTTTACTGTAAAGTGTTTGGTAGTTAGTGAAAGGATGGGTGGTTCCAGAAATTCAAATTTTGGGTAAAATCTAAAAAATAAAACGGACCAGAGCACGTTTTATTTAAAACATTTATTTGACCCAATTCTTTGGAATGTAATAGTCAGTGATGAGAGTCTGAAACAACAGAGATGGATGAGTCGGGTGCGGAGCAGAAAGTCAAAGTACAAACAATACTTTAAGTCACATAAGGCCTCACAGCTTTCTGATTCTTTTTACTTCCTTGTTTTCCTTTGTTTTTTGTTTTATTCTTAGACAAGAAAACTACGGAAACAGTACAGAAAATAAAACGCTTTCTCTTGTCATCCAAAGAAAAACAGAAGAAAACAATGGCACGTACATCAGTGACGGTACAAAAAACACAAGGTGATATTATACCAAGTAAATAAAATCGTTACTCGTATATAAGCTTTTTCGAGAATGAAAAACATCTCTGTAAATTGTACAATTCAGAATTATACCATGGCTGTCTAAAACCATGTTAAAAAGAAGCAACAATAACACTGTCCTCTCCGTTTTCCCTCCTCTCTTTTCATAAATCAACATCATAAACACATAGATTTTTTCTTTTTTAAATATATCAGTGCAACATTTGTTTTCAGGACGAGTGCTGCAGCATCCTTTTTCTTTAGTGGAGTCCGGCTGAAACATCAGACATTCCCATAGAAGAGGCGAAAATGCGTTAGGCATCTGTTTCTCCCCGAAGTTTCTGATGATGATGTTTATTTATCAGTTATATCTGTTCATGAACACAAACGAGCTGCTGAATGATGGAACCGTTTTCCTCCCCGAGTTTTCTTTCAGCTGTAAAGCAACATTCCCTCTGTTGGTGAAGAAAGATATGAATGCACTAAAGTAAAACAATTGAGGCTTAAACAAAATCAAATGATTTGCTCAGCTGAGATAAAAATGGAGTAAAGGAACAGACTTCCCCCAAATTTCCCAGCATCATCTGAAATTATGTCACTGAAGTAACAAAAACCCAGAAATTCGTCCTCCAGGTGATTCTGAATCCCAAAGCTTTTCCAGGCTTGAAGGGATTTTTGGTGCCTCTAGTAGCACCTAGTAGCCTCTGTTGACCATTGAATTACTAAAATAAATTTACTTAATGGGAACCTGCAAAAATTGGAAAGAGCATTTTTTGATAAAAAAAAAAAAAAGTTGGGTTTCAGCGCTCTTTTGATCCATGAAACACAAATGGACTGGACAACCCAATCAACTTTATGAAGGTAAAGATGGGCAGCAGGAAAGTCTAAAAGAACGGAAACTAGTTAAAATTCACCATCTGTATAGCAAATTAATACTATAAATCAAAGTCATTTACCTTTCTGAAAAGGATGTTAACTCTAATGTGTTGTTTCATTGCCTCCTATTAGGTCTTCAAGCCTATCACCAGAGTTTCTGCAGCTAGCTTGCATTGCGGCTGCCATGTTGTTACATGCAGGTCCATGTAGTTTGTATTCTGGTTCCTCAACATTACAGTCACACAAGATGAATACTTGGAGGCAGTTTAACAATGTGCCCAGCCAGATCCAAGTGTAATCAATGAAACCCCTGTGACTTTCTGTCACTGTAGCTGCTGAGGTTGTGTGTTTTTACCCTGTTAAGACATAAATTCCCTTTCAATGGAGCGTTTTCTCCTCTGACTCACCAGCGATGGTAAACATCCTTCGGCGACTGGTGTGATTTGAAAACAGAAAGGATACTGCAGCACTGGCGTCTTCCTCTATAGAAAAGGGCGCTCAAATATATATTAAAACCTATGTACAATACGTTGGATGTGTCATGTGCCATGAATATGAGGCATTCAGGGCTCCTACACATTTACCATATTGGGAATTTTCATAGTTTTCTTCAGTTCTGCGGATATAAACCTGGAACTCAACAGCTGAGTGAATGCCAGTGTAACCAGAAGCTGTTTTACGGTAAAATTACAGCAATAAAAAGATGCTGCTTTACGGACACAGCCTGGAAACCTTTCCCCGTAGTTTGTATAGGAACCCTGGAAAGAATGCCAGCCGATGGGAAAGCAACCAGCAGAAAACAAGGCAACAGAAAAACAGGAAAAAAAAGGCACTGTCGGAGCAGGTCAGTGGTCCTGCGTCAAGATCACACACACACACACACACACACACACACACACACACACACACACACACACACACACACACACACACACACACACACACACACACACGGTTTGTATAGTCAGACACACCTCAGATGCAGATGTATATGAGTGAGACGTCCACACACACTTCCACACGCGTTAAGCTAGCTTCGCTCATTCTTCAAAACACTCGAACGGAAAGACGAGAAAAAACATCAAACAGAAACATTAAATCTTTCTGCAAAAGTTCACTAACGATACTTTCGTCTGAATTGGTCTCAACACCAGCATGTGATTACGTGAAATCAACAAAGCACGCCAAAAAACAAAGAGAATCCTTAGTTTTCTTCTTTTTTGCTGTACAGGTTCTTTATACACAGTGCCCCCTACAGGTCAGTCCCTTCCACCAACGCTCCTGAGAAATAAAAATGAAATCGGCTCACTGTTAGCCCACCCTGCCGTCCCATTAGTGGCGTCAGCCCTGTGATTGGCTGCTTGTAACGTGTCCGCTAGCGGAGTTGCCAAAGCTCCGCCCTCTGCGCCTTCGGGCTCACGCCTCTGAGTAGTTGTTCGTCTGTCCGTTTATCTTGTCCTTCTTTAGCTTGACGCCGTCCACCAGCTCAAAGTTATAGTTCTCCAGGGCGGATAAGTTCCTATCAGTCATGCTGCCCTGCGAGCAAGCGCAGTACAGCACGACGCCGCAGATGGCGCCCAGGAAGACGCCCAGAGCCGACATGGCAATGATGGTGATGAGGATGGGGTCTATCGTCTTCAGCATGTTGCCCGGCCTGCCGAGTTCACCCGTTTCCTGAGAGAGGGAGTCCATGGCTGCAAGGGACAAGAAGACGCTCAAATTAGATGGTTGAGATCAGGACATATTTTCAGCTAACTTGGTATTTAACAGAGATGGGTAAAACCAGGTACATGGAGAAGCAGCATTCAGCTTCTATGCCCCGCAAATCTGGAACAAACATCCAGAAAATTGCAAAACAGCTGAAACTGTGAGTCCTTTAAATCAAAACTAAAAACCCATCTGTCTAGAGTTGCTTTTAAAACATTATAAAAGAAACATTGGCCAACATTTTGAGAACCGGTTCTGTAGAAGAACCAGTTCTCTACAGAGAACCGGTTCTCTGTAGAGAACCAGTTCTCTACAGAGAGAACTGTAGAGAACTGGTTAGTGTAGTTTACTAATACAGTGTAGTGTATTAGTAAACTACACTGTTTACTAATATTATTTGTACTATGGACATTGGAAAATGTCTGCAATAACATTGTTGCTTTTTCTTCATTATAGGACAACTGACTCCTTAATATCATTCGTTTGCTTAATCTTCTTCCAGCCTCTCCCTCAGGCTGACTTTCCTGTTCAAACACGCCTTGAAGCTGGGAGGAACCAGCTGAAGGTGAAACCTGACTGGCTGTAGCCTCTCTGCACTGGGATGTGAGTCACAGATTAGAGCTCAAACCTGTTGCTGTTTTCAGTAAACTTACACAGCTACTGTGACTGAGAGCCAGAATGGAGCACAATCAGCTGGATCAAGAAACTTTATGCTGTTCGATCTGTCTGGATCTACTGAAGGATCCAGTGACGATTCCCTGTGGACACAGCTACTGTATGAACTGTATCAAAACCCACTGGGATGAAGAGGATGAGAAACGAATCCACAGCTGCCCACAGTGCAAGGAGACATTCACACCGAGGCCTGTGCTAAAGAAGAACACCATGCTAGCAGCTTTAGTGGAGCAGATGAAGAAGACTGGACTCCAAGCTGCTGCTGCTGATCACCGCTATGCTGGACCTGAAGATGTGGCCTGTGATTTCTGCACTGGAAGAAAACTGAAAGCCATCAAGTCCTGTTTATTCTGTCTGGCCTCTTTCTGTGAGAAACACCTTCAGCCTCATTATGATTCAGCTGCATTTAAGAAACACAAGCTGGTGGAGCCGTCCAAGAACCTCCAGGAGAACATCTGCTCTAAGCATGATGAGGTGATGAAGATGTTCTGCCGCACTGATCAGAAGTTTATCTGTTATCTCTGCTCTGTGGATGAACATAAAGATCATGACACAGTGACAGTAGCAGCAGAAATAGCCGAGAGGCAAAGAGGGTTGGAGGAGAAACAACAGAAAATTCAACAAATGATTCAAGACAGAGAGGAAGATGTGAAGCTGCTTCAACAGGAGGTGGAGGCCATCAATCACTCTGCTGATAAAGCAGTGGAGGACAGTGAGAAGATCATCACTGAGCTGATCCGTCTCCTCCAGAAAAGAAGCTCTGAGGTGAAGCAGCAGATCAGATCCCAGCAGGAAACTGAAGTGAGTCGA